ATAAATTATAAAGAAAGTTTGAAGGATGCTTAATAAAAATTTAGTACGTATCTATCGGGTATGAGGGAAAGAAACATGAAAGCAATACGTTGTTTGTAGAAAGTCTGAGGCACGCTCGAAAAATGCGAGAGTAGTTGGGCCACAACTAGTCGTGACAGAAAAAGACGAAATGGTACAGCCATGGAAGAAAAGGATGCTCAATTAAAGGGGCGCGTAGGAGACAAGTAGGGACCAAGAATGATAAAAGATGTAGGGAAAGGGGTCGCGCAGAAATGAAGGAGTGAGCGAGACGTGAAAAATAGGGAATGGTAATCTGGAGGCGTAAAGGGAGAGAGAAAAAGCTTTAATGTTGGCGTAAGTAGCCGCGAAGAACGTTTTGTAATTTTATGATTTACTTGAACTTCTTTTCAATGAAGAACTTGAAAAATATTTTCAGAAATGCCCTCCAAGTATAAACTTTTATCTGTACATAGAAAAACAATTTTCAATATTTCCGAAAAGTAAGGGAAAAACGTTAAACTTAACGGTGAGCATTTCCTCTATGTCTTTTTTTTTACTGTACCTGCTTTTCTGTTCACTGTTTTTTTCAATAAACGGATATTATTATTATTATATTATTATTAAAAGACTTGATACGAAAAAAGACAAAACTGGCTAAAACCGAAAAACTCAAACCTCGTTGGATTTCCAATGGATTCCAATTTTCAAACGCATTTTAAGCAAGTTTTTCGTAAACGATTTACAAAAAGCTCAGCACTTATTACTGAATTTTTGCAACAAAATCCAAGCGAAAATCAAAGAACACTAGCATAACAAATTTACATTTAAGGATGTATATAGTTTCAAGATTCTAAAAAAGAGGCGGATGAGTTTGGAGTGGGTATATCCTCCGACGGAGATACGAGACTTTTAAAGGCCATGCAGACTGATTCCGCCCTTGGAAAACGTGAAATAGCATTGACGATGAGGACTCGCCCTCAGAACCACGTAATTGAGAAATGTTTGGGAAATTCATCGCATTAGTTAAGCTATTAATAGGAAATAAAAAAGTAGGACGAGTTAAAAGGAAATAAAGGGATTTTTTCAAGAAAAGGTGTTTGGTGTACAAATTTTCGCTAGCGGTTTATCCCTCGGTCGGTGCTGCTGATTGATGTTAAATTTTGAAAACTTTTCCTTTTCCTGACTTTTTGAATTTGAATCACTTTTCGACCGCGTACACTTTGTTATTGGTACAATATTCAAAGTTCTTATTAATTAAGCACATGCATTACAAGTAGGGGGCATGTAAAAACGAATATTTTTCTTTATATTATTTTGCTTGAATTAAGTTAAAATAGTGCACATTTTTAAAAACTAGCGTTTATATATTTCTATGTTCCGAAATTAAACAGAACAAAATAGAAACTTTTAAAAAATGCGGTGCATGCGAATTTTATTTTCTTTTATGAAAAAAGACACACGCAAATTAAAAAAATTTTATGATCATTTTTGATTAGTGTTTAATTGACCATAATTAATATAAAGATCTCGACCGCGAGATATGATTTTAATCAGATATTAAAACTAGTAGACATTACAAAAAATCTTCCACGAAGTGGTAGATCGGCAAACTGGTTGCGAGAAGTATTTTACTGGGGGCTATCATTTATAGATTTTGACCACAGGTATATAACATATAGATCTTGTTGCATAGGTGTGTGTAATCAAGAAAGGCGTCTACTGGCTACTGGTTATGTAAGGATACCTTTATGCAGACAAATCACATATTTTATGCTTCCGAATTTTAAAATGGAGCTCTTTATGGGCTCGCTCTTGTCGGTGGAATTTGTATCCTATACAGCGGCGACAGAATGAAAAAAAATTAATAAATTTGTTCTCATTCGACCTTCATATGTAAGATTGGATTTTTTGGTAGGTACCTATATAATTTGTATTGAGCTTGCGTACGAAAAGAGCATGATGGCAAAAGCATTCGACGCTTTGCAGATAAGGATAACTGCTAGAATATGTTTTCTGTAGAGGAATAATAACAATTTTTGTGCAAGAAAATGATTGGCTAATTAAAATAATAACGTAGATCTCCAAGTGCCGTTTGGCATACTTCAAGACCGTATCAAAAGAAGTCACCCCATTAAAACAAGGTTATACATTCTAGTCGACTTTTAAAACTGTTAATGGCGCAATCACTTCATAAAACACGTCGCAATTATTCACTTGAAAAAATTCTTATAATCCAGATTCTAATTTTAAACGGCGCAAGGCATCATTACAGCTATAAGGAGGAGTTTGTACATCATTGACCACACGCAAGCTCCAAGCTATACGAAGCGAAAGTAATATTTCCAAAGACTAAATCTCGACGGAAAATCGTTTCCGGCCAAAATTTCATGATTTTACGCCAATCAGATTTATTCTCGGTTAATTTAATTTGCATTTATCATTCTGAAATCTGTGCGAAAATGAGAAAGCTTGTAAATTATAATTGCGGCGACATATATCTGGAACGAATTTCCCTATAAAAGTAAGAGTGTGGCATTTCAGTCTACCGTGAAGAATAGTTTGAAATAATTTCTAAGATACAAAAGGGCCGCCGTAAGTAAAAACTCGCGCTCATTGCAAATACCGTGTCGGCGGCGGTGTCTTTGTTAATTATTATGGAACTTGCAGAAGGTGGAATGCAAATACATTAAATTTAGTGCCGAAGAATATAAATTTCGACTATAACGCTCAAATTCTTTACCTTCTCCCCTTTTATTTATATATAGGTGTGTTTATGTTCTTTTCTTATTGGACTGCGCTATTATGTTTCTTCGTTTTGTAGTCGCATGTAAAAAGCTAGAAATTTCTTGTGAAAATTACGTGTAATAAACGTCTGGTAAATTAAATCTTGCTGTGCAGAAAAACCTGCCAGTGTCATTTCAATAGTGGACTTTTTATTCGTGAACCCTGATGCATTTGATAGAACAAATATGCCACTACCGCGAAGTTATATCAATCCTCAACATCTCTACTTAGAATTGTTATAAATAAGCAGCCTCCCACTTGCGGAACATCCTTGGAAAACACACCATTAGCTACCATTACACATTTCTAAACGGGCTAAATGAGGAATGGAAGACCGGGTGGTCAGCCTACCGAGACTGCACTATTTTACACACAAAAATCAGAGCCACCGTTACACACCAAAGGATTCTATAAAAGATACCGAAAAGAACTCCCTATGATTCGCCTCAGGAAGATTCGCCACTGGACGATTCACTCCCGTAAGGGTTGCCGCCGTAATATTCGCTCCGTAAAATTTACCCCTGAAAGCATCTTCGGGAAATTCGTCCCCATAAAAAACGCGTGACAAATATTCATATAACTGGCTTCAAGAAAACTTCTGAATTTTCGACTCCACGAAAAATTGCCCTCTTGCCCCCCCGTATAAAAATTTACGTTTTGGGCGAAAAACTGAAAATGAAAATTATTTTCCTACCTTAAACGGTGCTAACGGGAACCGTCAATTCCCGACCCGTCATTATCAGTTTTTCGGCGACATCTTAGTCATTTTCAAAGATTTTTCAAAAATTTCAAATGCGTTTTTATAGTCACAAAAAGGAGCAAGCTAGTTTGCCTCAGTAGAAGAATATTAGTCGGTGGCGAATTTTGTACCAGCGATTATACAGAGGGCAAAAGATTATGGAACCGAAATAAATGCTAGAGGGAAGGGATTATCCAAGAGCGAAATTCTGTATAATGTCAATACAGTTTATCTACCATAATAGTATGTTAGAGGACCACAGGTTGAATTTCACTGGTTGCTTTTGGTTTTCTACCTCATTCTGAAAACAAAACTTCCGGAGGTGAATCTTTCGGGGGCAATTTTTTAGAGATGAATCTTCAGGGAAGAAATTTGTAGGTGTCAATCTCCCGAGTGCGACTTTTTAGTGGCGAATCTTCCAGGAGAATTTTTCGAGGGCGAATATACCGTGGGGTGACTTTCTTAGGACTCATGGTTGAATTTCCCGGGACGAATATTCGTACAATCATTTAAAATATTATAGTGGAAGAGGC